TGCCCATCAGATGGCAGCCTTTGAGCCATGGTGGCTATTGGGCCATGATGTCAATTGCACAGAGGGGATGCTGTGCTGACAGCAGGCCAGTGGCTCCCTGGGGGAGCACCTGGTTCCACAGACACGGATTCCTCTGGTATCACACTGATCACTGAGGAGAGAGTCGGGGAATTACTTCCCAGCCAGGGCTTTGCCCCATTCCCAGAGTCTCTCACTGTCTGTCTGGCACGTCCAGCTTAATATGAGATGTCAGACCATATGCTTTCTGGGTGCCACTTTGTTGAACACTGGTGAGAAATCGCTTTGCCCAATTCAAGGACACAAATGGGCTGTGCAAGTGGAAACATGAGCTGGGTTTCTTCTTGGCACATTCACAGACTCAGAATTTGAGCCTAGAATGGTAGAGGCGAAGGGTGGGGCATCATCCCGCAGTGCCAGTGAGGAGCTTGTAACCTCAGGACTTCCACCAGTTATTAATCAGCACTTAACTGAAACTTAGCACGGGCCGGGCATCATAGCAGGCACCCTCTGTACATTGTCATAGCTCCTTGGAAGTCTTTGTTCAGCCCGATGTCTAAGCCCAGGGAAAGTTTCTCCTGACGGCTTTTTCTTTTGTTTCCTTGGGCGTAGATCACACTTCCCAGTTTTGTTGCATGTCTTGTAATTTTTTGTTGTAACTTGGACATTTTAGATAATATGTAATAGCACCTTTAGGTTCTCATCTTTTCTCAATTATTTAGTAACTTATCTGGACTAGATAGATTCATGGAGTCTGATTGCTGATATCTCTGCTCTGGTTTTTTATTCTTGTTTTTATTAAAAACCCTAGATTCTCAGGGATTGTCCCTTCATCAGCATAGCTTAGTGGTCAGCAGAGGTTGTGATCAAATACTGTGAATCTGTGAGGCTTCTGCCTAATTCTTACCGAGTTATATGTGTACTGGAAAACGTGTTCCGTGTTCAGACATTTACAATTGTGCCACAGATTTTACTTTTCGTCAGGCTCTTTTACATGTTTTCTTCCTGTGTACATGGCTTTATGCTTACGTAAGGACATGCAGACAGCAGGGGCCCTCTTGGCCTCCCTGTGCACACCTACAGCTTTAAGCATGTGTGCAGACCTCCAGGTTACAGCCTTATGTGGGGGCTTACCAAGGCCCACTCTGACTGTCCCATTCTGTCTCTCTGGCTAGTTAATGTCCATTGTTAGCTGTGATCAGGATAACAGTCTTTGGCAAGCTGTGCCATTGACCTTCTCCATTTGTTTGCTGCCAAGTTTTCCTTGAATAATTGCCTTTCAATTTGTCGTATTCCCTTGCTCAATTTCCAGAATATTGGAACTTACTGTTTTTGAAAATTGCATCCATTCTTATCATTGCTTTTGGGGGGAGAGGATTTATCAAGTTCTTTGCTCCACAATTCCGGAAGTCTCACTCCTACATGGTACTTTTATGACATCATTAAACTCCCACTGCATCCTTGTAGGATGGGCATGATTACCCCAGATTCTAGACCAGGGCACTGCAGATCAGAGAGGTAGCATGGCTTGCTCAGGGTCACACAGCTAATGAATGTGGAGGCAGACTGGACCCCAGGATCAGAGGGCAAAGAACAAGCTCAAGAATCTGATTCCTGGGGGTTATGTCCCCCTCCATCACTTCCTAGCAGGTGACCTTTGGTAAGTCATTTCACTGCATTGGACCTTATTTTCCTTTTCTGTAAAATGGACATAAAATAGTGTCTGTTGCAAAGGTTTGAAAATGAAATGAGTTATGTGTAAACACTTAAAATAATACTCAGACTCAAAAACAAAAGAGAAAACTGTTTCCTTAGAGCAAATGGTCAACATTTCCTTAGCTTTCCATGCTGAGAGGGATAAACCTCAATTATTTGGACCATTTAGGTAGAATAGCTGATCCCATAAAGGATAACAGTAACCCGGATTACTTTTAGTAACCTGGATTCTCACCCTATCTACCACCAGCTGGCTGTTAGGTGATGATTACATCGTGCAGAATCAAATGAAATCCCTGATAATTGGCCTAAACCTGTGACAATTTCATATGGTTCCATCTAAGAATAATATTCATTATGATAATAATAATAAGCAATTAAGTACAAAGTCACTTACAAAGTCCTTTTCACATGTTTTCATTTAACTGTCCCAACACCTGGGCAGTCTAGGTGGGGAATATTATCACCATATTGCAGGTGAGAAACGTGAGGATCGGAAGCACAGTTCAATGCATATAGCCACCTATTTGCTCTATTATTTGAACCTAAATTCATCTGTAAAATGAGATCAACAGGGCAGGATGTCTTTGTTAGGTCTAATATCCTTGGCCGCACAGACTTCCAAAGCACTCTAAGCAAATTGAGCGACAGAGAAGAATCCTTGGGTATCGTGGAGGTCAGCTGTGTGTTTTGGCAGTGTTAGGGGTGGGCCTGAGAAATGGAAGCTTTGTCCATGCTCTGTAGCATCTTCCCAGGTTTTGACTGAGACAGAGCTGGGAGGACTAGCTCAGGACATCAGGACTAGCCCATAATGTTTATTGGGTGCTTCCTGTATACTCGGAACTGTGTGGCACCCTCACAAAACAATCAGCATCTTTTGAAATAGGTGCTGCTATGTCCTCCCAGTTCTCAGAAGAAAAGCCTGCAGCTCAGAGTAAAATGCTTGTCCAAGGTCACGCCGTTCAGGAGTGGTCAAACCACCCTCTCAGCCCCAAGGACCTAACTCCAGATGCTGATTTCTTTGCCCGGCAAACACTGGGTCTTAACTCTCAGGTAGGCTTAGAAAAATTCCATTCACTGTAGGCTTCATTTATTGTTCATTCATCCATCTTATTTTCAGCCAATTTTTATTTTGTTTTCCTCTTGTGCAGAGAGCAAACATGCTGTGTTTTGAATGTATTGATTTTATACATCTAGCTATCTACAGCTCCCTTGGAACATTTTTGGCTAAAAAGTAAAAAGTGAAACCACTGGATTTTTGGAGGGGTGTTATGGAATGTTCTAGGAGGTCAGAAGAGGAAACTTCCTTCTAAATTATAGTCTTGGACTAGACTGTTAATAAGCATTTTTTTTGTATCCTAGGAAGTTTTCTGTGATGCTGATGACCCATGGAATTGAAACTCATCTGCTAAATGACTCTAGTCTCATAATACCTTTTGTTTCTTGAGTGTTGCAATTACTTTTCTGACAGTTTATTTTAAAAATAGACTTTGCGATTTTTCAGTGAATGGAAGGTCCATGAGGGATGGTATGGGGGTGGAGTGGGAGGGGAACTGGCAGTCACAAAGGAACCAGGTGTGACCTGTATTTATCTGAGGGTTGTTTCAGACCCTGCACAACCTTCTACCAAGAGGAAAATTCCATTAAGTGGCTGGTGATTTGCCCAACGCTGCATTCAGGAATCTCTTTGAATTTGTTTCTCCTGAATGGGTCTGCTTTTCTCCCTACTCCCACCCCTCGTTTCTTCTCTTATTGGGTCACTCTTGTTTATTTGTTTATTCATTCAGTCATCATATTTACTGAGCTCCTACTGTATGCATAAAACAGTACCAGGTTCAGGGGAAGAAATAAGAGGTGAATTAAAACTCTCATTTCGTAATCTAGGGCAGACACACAAGGTTAACGACCATGTCGTTTATTCAGCAAATATTTGTGAGTGAGGCAGTCACTGGCAAGTACACTGAGAGGACAGAGTTCTGGGGAGGCTGTCACAGAGGACTTTGGTGACACAACAGGTGGATTTCCTAGTGGTCTAGGGTCCTCTGGAGCTGTCCTGTAAACAGTCAAGCACAGATGTTGCAAAGTTTTAAAGTGGCCAGTCAGCTCCCTCAGAGGCTCAGGAAGTCATATTGAGGTCCCAGTTGACAGGAAGTTAACTTTTAATAAATGATATGTCTTAATATTATTTCCTCCCATACCATAACACTTAATCTTCATGGCCCGGGCATGATAAGCAGGGCAGAAAATCACTAGTTTTGAGTTTGATGAAAAGGAGATGATGAAAAGGACTCAAATTTGCCTCTGCCCGTGTGTCCCTTGTAACCCTGGAGCAATGACTTCATTGAGGTTTTTGTTTTAATTGTGGTAAAACACACATAACAAAATTTACCATTTTAATGATTTTTCAATGCACAGTTCAACGGTATTAAGTACGTTCACACTGTTGTAACCATCACCACCAGCCATTCCCGGGAACCCTTTCCATCCTGCAAAACTGGACCTCTGTTCCCATTAAACACTAACTCCCCAACCTCCCCTGCTCCCAAGCCCCTGGTAACCACCATCTCCTTCCTGTCTCTGTGAATTTGATATTCTAGGTACCTCATGTAAGTGCAATCATGCAGTATTTGTCTTTGTGTGACTGGTTAATTTCCCTTACCATAATGTCCTCGGGGTTCATCCACATAGCATGTGTCAGAATTTCATTCCCTTTTAAAGCAGATCCGTATCCCATTGTGTGTATAGATCACATCTGTTTATCCATTCATTTGTTGATGGACACTTGGGTTGTGTCCACCTTTTGGCTATTATGAATAGTGCTGCAATGAATGTGGGTGTACAAATATCTGTTCAAGTCTCTGCTGTCACTTGTTTTGGGTGTATATCCAGCAGTGGAGTTACTGGATCATACGGTAATTCTGTTTAATTTTTTTAGGAACCACCGTACGGTTTTCCATAGCAGACACATCCTTCATTTAGTCTTCTGCCTTTGGTTTCCTCCTCCGTAAAATCAGTGTGGCAGTATGATGCCCCACCTAGGGGTGCTGTGAAGGTCCCAGCAGAGTGATGGCACACAGGAGGGGCTCAGTGCATGCCCATCCTTGCCTGGGTGAGGTGGGGCTCTGTTAGCTAAAGCTCACGGGCACACAGGGTCTTGCTCTCTCTCCAGATGCGCTGGCCATCCAGCCACCTGACCCTCTGCTTCCTTCCACTTCAGGAGTCTCCTGCATTCCATCTATCTTCTCCACTTTTTCTCTCCTCCCTAGGCCGTGGAGGAGCTGCTGCAGACCCTGGATCTGGAGAAGAAGGTAGTGGCCGTGGGGCACAGCCAAGTGAGTAGAGTTCCTTTCTTATGCCATCCTGCCCCTCCCATCAGGGACCCGGATGAGACCTGCCTCTTGTCTTACCTCACTGATTGCTACGTTCGTGCATTTCCTTTTCATCAAACTCAAAACTAGTGATTTTCTGCCCTGCCTATCATGCCCGGGCCATGAAGATTAAGTGTTATGGTATGGGAGGAAATAATATTAAGACATACCATTTATTAAAAGTTAACTTCCTGTCAACTGGGACCTCAGTATGACTTCCTGAGCCTCTGAGGGAGCTGCCATAAAACCTGAGAAGCACTCATCTCCACTCATAGACTTTCAACATTGACTTCGTAACCAATGGTAACATGCTAATCCTAGCTCATGAGCTGCAATAAGCGAAAAGGAAGAAACGGCTTGGGAAGAAGGCACTTACTTAAGTTTAGAGCTGAGAGAAATAGCTTTTTCCAAACTGGTATTGAGCCCAAACCTCTTCCAAAAATGTTTAAACGTTTAGAGAAGAATTTCACTGGCCCTGATATGTTCATATAGCTTATAAGTTTTTAAGAAGGAAAGGAATATTCAGGGCTTCACAAATGATTTGGCCATGGGACTCCCCACCTTTCTGTGGAAAACCTCTTACCAGAGCTTGGGAGAATCGTGAACTCTCAGGTGCCACCCCAAATCTGAAATGCTTGGCATGGAACCCAGCAGCCTGGGCGGTGACAAGCCCTCTGGGGGATTCTAGTGCACACTTAAGTTTGAGAACTGCTGGTCTAGGTAATTAGTTATTTCATGAATACAAAAATCAGCCCTTACAATCCCAGCAGCCATTGCTGAGCAAGGAAGAAGGTGGAAAGTCACTCTACAGGGTTTCATAGTGGCGAGGGCCCATCACTAAACCAAAATGCCCCAATAATAAAACATTACCATAATTGAGTAATACTTGGTATTCACTACGAAACTGTCAAGAGCAAGATAGGTCAGTGTGTCCTTTTGGAAGCCAGGCTAGCCTGAGGTTTTGAAGGGCAGATGCAAGTTGCATGCACTGTGGGATTAGACACTTCATGGGTGGGAAAGTCATAAAGTGGAGAAGAGTCCACACTGAGGTCCGTCACCTCCTAAATGCGAATCTTGAGTGAGTGATTTAGCCTTTCTGAGCATCACCTGTAAAATGGAGCCACTGCCTTCTACCTCCCAGGTTGGCTGTGGGAATCAGTAAATTGTCATTTAATAGGAGTTGGCTGTCATTATTTGTTGAATGCATTTGTCAGTGGGGCAAGATGCTTGATTTGTCAAATAGGATCACATTTTAATGTTTAAAGGATGAAACTTCTCTAATCTGGAAAATTACTAAGAGGAGAGAAGCTAATTCCTCAGCAGTACCAGATATGGGAGCTACTGCTATATCAGATTTTTAAACCCTGGCATCAGCATTTTGAGAGGAGAAGCATCTTGCATGGCACTGGTTCCCAGAGATTCCTTAGACATGGAAATGTCGGGGTGTCATACTCTGCTTGGGTCTGATAAGCAGCTGGACCCATGAAAAGTGAATAATTTAGATTGTTATTTGTGATTCTTAGCCCCTGGCACCTTATTGAGGCCTGTGCCCAGAGCCATGACATTTATGAGAAGGTGGGATTCCATAGCAGCCAGCTTCTGGCCAGAAATATGCTTTTTAAAGGAAAAAAACATCAAGAAAAGATTCTGCAGAGGCGATGACATATTCCCATTCTGTGTGTGGTCGTTTCCAATTATCTTTTTAATGAAAGCTTCATACTTAATCAATAGTGGTTCTGGCAGCCCCCGCTGCCTTTTGTAATATATGAACTACTGCTGTCATCACTTTGATCATTGATTTTTTTTTTATGACAGCTTTTGGGACTCACTAGCTTGTGAAATTAATACAGTCATTATTGAGGCAATCTGATAGGTAATGAGTCAATTGTGTCTTTATTTCAATGAGGCTAATTGTCACAGTGGCCCTTGCTGTTAGTAAGTGTTCTGTAAAGTGACAGAGGGTTGCAAAACAGAGTTAGCACCGATTGGGTTGTGCTAATTTTCATTTTCCCATTGAGGAACTGTTCACTGTGGGATCGGCAGAGTGGTCTCCATTAGCGGAAAGAGGGTTACAGAATGGAGAACAGATGGAGACCCTTTGTTCCACCTGCAATCAAATTGCAATTCAACTTCAGACTTCAGGCGTTTGTATCATAATGAAAGAGGAAAGGAAGCCTCTTGCTGAGGTGGAGAATGGGTGCTAGAGATGAACTCAGGGTTTTGGGTTCAAGTCTTAGCTTCGTTGATCACCAGCTATGTGAACTTGAGTCGACGACATAACCTCTCTGAGCCAATAGATAACTTAAAGGATTGTTTCAGAATAAAAATGGGACCCGGGTGAAAGAGCTTTGAAAAATGTAGATGCCACACAAATGTTAATTACATTCAGTGATAATTATGGTCTTGTCTGGAGTCAGAAGGAAAGAAATCCTGGTGTTGCCATGTGCCAGTAGAGGATGGGTGGCAAATGGCTTGTTTGCAGCCTTGATTTCTCCCTCCATGAAATGGGAGGATCACAATAGTTACCAAAGAGGATTAGGCATGTAGAGTATTTCATGTGCATAGTAAGTGGTTAGTCCAGATCCACAGCACGGTAAAGGCTCCATAAAATGTTAGCCCTTGATTGATAATGTCACTGATTACTTGATAATATCACTAATGAAGATGGAGCTATCCAGCACCTCCAGAAACATTGAACGCGTTTGGGGTTAGAAGTCACCGCTGGCAAAGAAGCACCTGGGGCTGTTCATAAAAATGAGCAGCATGAGGGCATCTGCAACCGTCCCTTCCCTGTCTTGGACTGTTCCCCCCTGAGGCATCTCCCCTTTGCCTCTGGAGAGGTGAGGCCACCTATAGCTGACCCACCACACTGGTGGGAGCAGCCTTGGCCCCAAAGCTTCAGATTCTCTCAGAAGATCCTTCATATTCCCTGCGGTCTATTCAAGGGCAGCCCTGCAGGGTGTCGCGAAGGCCCTGATCGCCTTGCTGCGGAGGCCTTCATCCATTATTGATGAGCGGCGGCATGGAAGTTACAGACCTCACACTGTTTCCCCATAGAAGCCTGAGCACCTTCTGTGGGTGGCTCTGGCCTAACCCCATCCTCTCCCGACTGAAGAGGCCACCCTCACTACCCCCACATTCTCTGCTCCTTCTTAGGAGGCAGAACCTTATAAGGCATTTCTAGGGCACCACTTCTCTTGGACGGCCAAAGGCCCTTATCAAAAGAAGGCACGTCCCCAGCCCAGGCATCAAACCCACCCATTTGACCTTTCCTGGGGCAAGGCCAGGGAATCTGCCTTTCCCACACTCCCTGGGTGATTCTGGTGCACAGAGTAGTCTATACAGGTCTGTCCTAGTGGTGGTTCTCAAATGACCATGTGCATGAACCCCCTGGGGATCGTGTCAAAATGCCAGCTCTGATTCCACAGGTCTGGGCTGGGTCCCCGATTCTGCATTTCTAACAAGCTCCCTGGTGGTGTTGAAGCTGCTGGTGTACAGGCCACTCGCTGAGTACCCAGGGGCTAGAGGAAGGCAAAGAGGGGGTCATCGGGAGACAAGGTGCTTTGATAATCTAGACTCTCAGTCAAGGGTGGCTGCTAACAAATATTTAGGGTGGAGGCAAGAAAACGGGTCTGAGCGGGACCCGCCTCCTAGGCAGACAATCTTGATTCAGAGTCACCTGCTGCCTTCTCTCCTTCCAGGTTTTCCTCAAGGCAGGCGTGGTCTCCAGACTTGAGAAACAGCGCCGGAAGCTGGTGGGTCCCAGCATCATTTTATTCCAGGCGGCTTGCAAGGGCTTCCTGTCTCGCCAGGAGTTCAAGAAGCTGAAGGTACGGAGGCATGCATGGCCCGGCATCCAGCAGAGGCGGTGGTCGTGGAACAGCGCCACCGTGCTGGTCCCCTGCTTCTCACACTTCTCACACTTGCTCTTGTGCATAAATACCCGGCAAGCACATTAGCATTAGCATATTGTGGGCTCACTGGTCCACTGCAGTTGAGTAGCTCATGCCTTGAGGTGATTTGGAATAGAGATTAATTCAGAGCCTGGGCTCTGTCTGCAGCCAGACTCCAGGGATTCAGATCCTCATTCTGCCACTGAGAAGGTGTGTGACCCTAGGCATCTGACTGTACCTCTCTGCACCTTTGTTTTTCCATCTGTAAAATGGAGATATGACAGCACCTATCTTCACAGGGCTGTAGTGAAGACTGGGCTAAAGTGTGTAAGGTGCACGCACAGGGCGGTGCCTGGCCTGTAGAAAGTGTCATGTCAGTTGTCTGTGCACTGGCTGCTGTGATGTTGGTAGAGGAAAGGATCCCCTGGCTTAGTTTGTTAGCTAGTCAGCATGATTCCAGCCCATGATAAGAATGAATTACGTCAGTGGTTCTCAAGGTGTGGTACCCAGGCTAGCAGCGTCCACATCGGTGGGGGTTGTTGGCAGTGGTATCTTGGGTCCCACCTTAGCCCTACTGAATCAGACCCTCTGCGAGTGGAGCCCAGCCATCTGTGGTCTAACAAGCTCTCCGGGTGATTCTGATGTGCACTTAGGTTTGAGAAACATGAAACTCATGTTGAAATACACTAAAAACAAGATCTGTCTCCTAGACATCAACTAACAACGTAATCATGGCCATTGTCATTTGTGCGCTATTTCAGCGGTTTTCAAGGAGTATTTTTGCCTCACATGGTGCCTTGTGAGCCTACTCCCCATTATCAGGTGTGACACTGTTGTATAATGTTTCCACCCCTCATCCTACTGTTATTATTAGGCTATGCAAGAGTAAATTGCAGCTTAGTACCTGATGCCCAGAGCCTGACTCCATGAAAGGAGGCTTTGGAACTTTTTAAGTCACCTAATGCTTCCCACTAGGCTATAAACCCACTTTCCGCATCCCCCAAGCCACCCTCCACCTCCTCTCTTTCCGTCACCTTCACCGGGTTGGGAGAGACCCCCCTCAAGTCTCTTATCTCCTTCCCTTGCAGATTCGCCGACTGGCTGCACAGTGCATCCGCAAGAACATAGATGTGTTCCTGGTGGTCAAGGACTGGCCGTGGTGGCAGCTCCTTGGTTCCCTCCGGCCCCTGCTGAGTGCCAACGTTGGGGATGAACAGCTCCGTGCCAAGGAGGTGGGTCCACGCAGCAGACAGGGCGCCAGGTGGCTGCTCCCTTCCCCTGCCCCATTTGGTGCTTGTGTCCAGACTGGGAGCCCCAGCCCTACAAATTTTTGATCTAGGCATGCTCCACCCAACAGCTCTCAATGCCCTGCTCCAGACACCTCTATGCTTGCATCAATGCAGACCACCCTCTGTCCCATGCCCAGCCACACTCTAGGCTAGTGGCTGCCCATGACTACCCAGGGCACAGGCACTCTTCCCGCTTACCCCAGAGGGACTTGGCAGTGGACTCTCTGAGTCCTTTATCTTCTTACGTCTCACAGAAGAATATTCCCTTTACTTTCCGTTCTATCCTGTTAGCCACCCACTTTTCACAGGTAACTTATATTGGTTTCTTCCTATTATTTCTCTTTATAAAAAATAGCAAATACACACCGACACACCTTTTCTTTTCTTTCTTAAGCAAAAACTAGCATATTATATATACTCATGCAACTTGCATTTTTCACTTAAAATATATTTTGAGAATCATGTCCATTTTTATAGAGATCTTCCTGGTTCAGCCACACAATATTCCTATGTGTGTGTGTTTCATCAACCTTCTGTGGGTAAGCATTTAAGTTGCTCCTGTTGGTGGTATTGGAAGCATCCTGCCGAGCCACTGGTGAAAAGTGGTATTCGGGGAGGTGTAGGAAAGAAGATGATCGCACAATCTCGCTCAGGCGTGCCCAGTGTCAGGTTAAGCAATGGATGTTCTGAGGATTTGCATTCAGCCCTAAGACTGGGCTGATAGGGACCAGACTTTGCATGAACAGAGATGCTGATATTTGGAAATGGGGAAAGAACAAATCCCTTCAGGAACTTAGCATTTGTGAGCATCACCACGGATAGGCTGGCTGACGCACCCACTCCATTCCCCAGCTGCTCTTAACACATGTGGAACCGAAGCCTCTTGTCCAGAATGGCTTCTGTTAAGGTGTCTGTTTTTTGTAGGAGGAGCTTACAATGCTGAGACGGAAGCTAGAAAAATCAGAGACGTCTCGGAATGAACTCCGGCAGAACACAGACCTGCTGGAAAGCAAGGTAGCCCCCTCCCGTCCTATGTGGGGTCCCTGTGTGGGTGAGGTCCACTGACAGGGGAAATGCTGAGGTGCCTGGCTCTGGGCCGAGTGTTTTCTGAGATCCCTCAAAATAACCTCCAAGGTGCATGCTGCTATTGTCCCCATTTTACAGAGGAGGAAACTGAGACCCTGGGCTATTAGGTATCTTCCTGAGGCCACAAAACTAGTGTGTGTAGATTCAAACCCATGGCCTCTGGCCCCAAAGGGAAGAATTTCTTACTTAAGTCACAAAAGCACATCACAAGATAAAAAGAATCGATTTGGCTACCTGAAAGCAGTCAACTTCTGTTTATCAAAGCACAAAATGAAGACACACCACATGCTCAGAGATGATGTTTGCAACACATGTAACTGGCAAAGAGTATTGAAAATATGCAAAGAACTTCCTTAAATCACTGGAAAAAGGGAAACACTCCAATACAGAAAAAAAATGACCAAAAATAGGAGTCAGCAGGTCCCAAGAGGGGAACTGTTATTTCAAGAGGTCACATGTTCAGGAATTCAAATGGCCCATAAACCCATGAAAAGGTACTCTACCTAAATAGCAATCGGGAAATACGAATTAACATCACAGTAGGTACCATTTCACACTTTAGATGGGCAAAATTGAAAAGTCTGATGTAGCCAGGTGCTGGCAAGGATGTGTAGCCACAGGAACTCGTGTGCTGTGGGTGGGAGTGTAAACTGAGCTCATTGCCCTTTAGTAACCTAGCATTATTGCTGAAATTTGAACCTGTCATACCCTGTACCCCAGCTATTCCACTTTGGGTTATATATTCTGAAGAATCTTCTCTGTGTACGTATGCAAAGACAAGAATAATACAGTGGCCATGTTGTTAGGTTGAAGAAATGTAAACACCCAAATGGGAGTCTACAGATAAGAGAGAGAACGAACACATTCTGTTCTATTAAAAATCGAGTTACCGACAGCAGAGATGAATGAAGAGGCAGGCATATCTGCCCTGAAGGCCAAATCCAGTTCACCAGCTTCTTTTTTTTTTTGAGAGGGCATCTCTCATATTTATTGATCATATGGTTGTTATCAACAATAAAATTCTGTATAGGGGACTCAATGCACAATCATTAATCAACCCCAAGCTTAATTCTCAACAGTCTCCAATCTTCTGAAGCATAACGAACAAGTTCTTACATAGTGAACAAGTTCTTATATAGTGAATAAGTTCTCACATGGTGAACAGTGCAAGGGCAGTCATCACAGAAACTTTCGGTTTTGATCACACATCATGAACTATAAACAATCAGGTCAAATATGAATATTCGTTAGATTTTTATACTTGATTTATATGTGAATCCCACATTTCTCCCTTATTATTATTATTATTTTTAATAAAATGCTGAAGTGGTAGGTAGATGCAAGATAAAGGTAGAAAACATAGTTTCGTCACCAGCTTCTTTTTGTCAATAAAGTTTTATTGGCACACAGCCATGCCCATTCATGTGTCTATAGTTTCTAGCTGCTTTCCTGCCACAGAAGCAGAGTCGACTAGTTTGCAACAGAGCATGTACGACCTGCAAAGATAAAATATTTACTATCTGGCTCTGTACAGGAAAAATTTCCTGGCTCTCCAACTAGAGAGACATGAATCAAAGTGGCTTGCCTTTGCAAATATAACACCCAGGAAAATGGTTAAGTCACAAGAGGCTATCTAAAAAATGATACATATTATGTATCATGTTGTATGACTTATAAAATATGGTTACATATTATTTTTTTAACATGCAGAATGATACTATATATTGGTTAAGGCATATACTGTATGATTGTGGTGTACAGATATTCATGGGAATAATACCACCAAATTCAGAGTAGTGGTCACCTCTGGGGGATGCAGGGGACATGTGATCAGAGAAAATTTTGGTGTGTGTCTGACGGCCTTGCTGATGTTTTCTTTGTCTAGTTGGGTGTTGAATTCATGGGCTGGGGATGAAGACATGAGCTAGATGGTTCCTGGTCCCAAGTAACTACAGAAAAGCATAGATTCTTAAATTCATACAGTATGATGTGGGACAGTCAGAGAGCTGTGGGTAGACCAAGGAAGAGCTCTTTTTGGAAAACTGCCCTGCTTTTAGCCTCGCAGGGCTGGAACTAAGGAGTAGAGCGTAAGGCACTGATCTAGAGCACAAAACGTAAAGGGACACAAAAATTCAGTAAGATAAATATTTCAGTGCAGTATCTTTAAAAGTGTAAACTAATGCCCCAAATCCACAGTGAGCAAAATATCAAAATTTTCAATAAACACAGAGTTGGGGGTAGAGTTAAGGGTTTTTTATTTAAAATTTTATTAAATATTCCTTAAAATTTTTTTAATTGCTATAAAATTTTGATATTTATTGTGGAATTTTCATTTTTAAATTTTGCATTAAAATGTTATTTATCTTGATTTCTGAGGTTTTTTTTTTTTTTTTTGTACTCTCTTAAATTTGTACCCTGGCTGAAGGCTTTTCTCACCTCCTCCTCCATCTCCGCTATCTTTTTCCCTGAAGCCCTGGGCACCTCACAGGGATCTACTGAAAGTCAAACTGAATCCATTTATACCCATTCAACACACAGGTCTGAGCACCTCTCAGCTGTCAGGTATATGGTAGCCCCCTTGGATACAGCCAGGGAGGAGGCAAGCCCCTGTCCGCACAAGGTCTCCAGGGCAGTAGAGGGAGATAGACAAAAAGTGAATAAGCACGCAAACTAGTAAACTAGTTCAGACTGGGAGGTGCTGCAGGTTTAAGCAGAGGTTAAGTCAACAGTGAAGGGAAATAGGGTCGGGGCTGTTTTTGCCTTCAAGGAAAGGCTTCCATGGATCAAGATGTTTGATTCTGGTTCTGAACGATTTGAAAGAGCCATTTATGTGCAGATCTGGGGGGAAGAGTAGAAATGGCACGTCCAAAGGTCCTGAGGCCATATGGGACAGTATTTGTCAGTCTAGAGCAAAACTAGAGCTTTCTACACCCACAAGGCTGTGGTTTTATTATTTCTGATAAAATCGCTCGGTTTGGTTGATGGATAATGGTGGCTGTCATTGGATTCATGATCAAACCAACAGAACGCATCGTCTTCCTGTTGACAGCCCTAGTTGAGCCCAGGCTGGCTCCCACGGGAATACTGAGTGAAGTTTGGGGAGGGGGCTCTCTCTTTTCTATCCCTTCTCATGCTCCCCATGATTGTGTCCACACTCCCCCCACCAAGGGTTTTCTGTCTGTTTAACCCATGCCCACCCAGACAAGGAAAGGGCGGGAACTCCTGGAAGGGAGAGTCACATGCGCACATAGGAGAAGCCGGGCTGAGACAGGCACCGTGAGTCCGCACGGAGGAGAGGAAACGGCACCAGGGCTCACTTTCTATTCAGGTTCTAGAGAGTGGGCAGCCCGGCCTCTCTTGCTGGAAATAGCAATGAGTAGAGCAGCAGAAGCAAGAAACCAGGGAACCGTGGGCTGGTTGGGAATATCGGTGACAGCCATGTGGAGACTCCTTCCCGTTGAGCTGGCTGTTGATGCAGTAAATCATCATGAGCTGTCAAGTCAGACATGGGGGTTTACAATGCATCTGATGCTGGGGGGGATACTTGGAGGGATGAGGTGAACACCGCTAGCTTCTAGAGCTACAGCTGTGGAACACCGGGAGAAGGAATGGAGCAGGCTTCTGAGACCCAAACCAAGCATATGGGTGTCGCCACCTACAGAATATTCTGCCTGGGTTCTTTGTGTCTTTATATCACACATGGTTACATAAAAGACACATGGGGCCTGGAAAAAATAAGATAGAAATGAAAAGCTAAGAAAACCAGAGCAAATGGAAATAAGAGTTGAAGAGTATACAAAACCAGAGAAACAAGAAATGGAAATTTACTGTTGGCCTCAGACTCACTCTCATTTCAAAGCGTTTGCATGTGCTGTTCCCTCTGTCTGGAACATTTGCCTCCACCCTCACCACCTTGTTAATGCTTGGCCATCCCTTTGCACTCAGTTCAGGTGGTATCCCCTCCAAGAAGCCTTCTTTGACTCTTAAAGAGTGTCTAGGCCCCTGCTATATGTGATCACTGGCCCTGTGCTTCCTGTCACAGCATCGGCTGGCATGTTGACCACCTCCTGCATGCCTGTGTCCCAGCTAGACTGTGAGACCCCAGCTCCAGGCACAGGGATGTGACTGGCTCATCACATCAGCACATCCCCTAGTACAGAATAGACCCAGAGTGGGTGAATGGAGCCATTAAAGGTGGGCTGAAATTTTTGCCACTGAGCTTCCTAGCAACCAAGGGAAAGAGGAAAACAAGATATTCCACAGATAAATTGTGCCTAGGTTAAACACACACACATACACACAC